AATAGCCTACGCTGGCAAGCCTCACCCGGGGTGAGAGGTAGATCGTTTTTCTATTCTCACCCCGGATGAGAATAGCCACTTCCGTATGAAAAACGCACATCGGAATTAAACGCGGGAATCTTAACAATCGCCAGATTCTCTACTTCACGATCTTTGGTAGGGGCCTACCTGTCTCCACGGCCTTCTAACACTAGTTTGTGGGTATTCCAGGATGTGATGACATCACATTACTAAAATTAGTCACCAATCAGGCAGGTGCGATGTTCTACGTTTAGCCGTATGTCGCCGAGCACTGCTAAATCGTTGAAACAGTGCACACTGATTCAAGACCTGCACAGGCAAAAGAACATTGGATCTAGAATCTAGCATCTCATTCATACGATCAGCTTAAAGTACATAAAGTAAACTTCTAAAATTTCTATAAACCCAAACTCTTAATGGTGTAAAAGATGCATGGCAACAGGAAGTAAAACACGTCTGTCAACAAACGTCAGCTGTCAGCTGACGAGCAATGCAATGGCCACACACTGTCGGCGGATAGCCAGTCGACACAGCTCTCTTTATTAACCTGTTTGTGTTGTAATACCACTTTACCTTTTCGTATGTATGAGATGGATAGGTCTTTTGACAGACATTTTCACAGGGATCAACATCAGTTAGAATGTGTTCTAACAAAGAGGACGCTGAAGCGACAGACACAAATAAGATTGCGCTGCATAAGAGCAGCAGTTTGTTTTCGATGGCCACCATTTTTGTTTATGTCGTGACGAAAATAAAATTCGATTGGCCTTTTGAGGTCATGTGATTTTTCTAGATTAAAGGGGAATAACCAAGGTAATAAATGAAGTTTTCAGACCACAAAGAGCTAAGGGGAGTAACTGTGAAAAAACGCCGTTACATAAACAGTAAGTAAATTTACACATAAAATGATAATATTATTATGTATTTTCTTAAATAAGAGTAATCAGTAATAGCTTACCACAATTTCCAGTCCTTGTCTTGGTCTGTGAAATTTCTGACATTTGACCCAAAATACAGAAGAACTAGTAGAAAGCAGAGTAGGTAAGGAGATTCTTGCTTGATTTGCAGACCAAAAAAAATAATTATATAATTTAATATAAATGCTGGGGCTGTGACCGCTGCGGACATACACAGCCAGATCATGGCGATGGCACTGAGGAGAATGATGATGCACAGAAGGAGTCGTGGGATTCCCGTCTTGCGGGCGATACAGGACAGCCAATCACTGTTGTTGCTGTCTTCGGTACTCGACCACGGGTACGCCTGTATCAAAATAAAGTCATTAAGTTACTCTTATCAGCATTTTTGCCATGGGTACGCCTGTATCAAAATAAAGACATTAAGTTGATGTCGTCAGCATTTGAGCATGGGTACACCTGTATCAAAATAAAAATGTTACGTTTTTGGTATCCTTTAAACAGAGCTGACCTTACTGAGCATATAGAATAGGACACATTACACTTTGTAGTCAGCCAGACTCCTACCCTTGCAACATTCACTTTATCTTCACTCCCTTTCCCTATCACAAGTCAACAAGCTTTGTAAAAATAACGCCTACCCTCGCAGCATTCATTTCATCTCCAAAACTGCGCACAGACTTCATCTGTGAGTGCCGGAGCATCTCTGTGGCGGTGTTGTCCGAGGCCTCGATGTTTGTCTCAACGCCGCTGCTGGTGCCCTTGAAGGTGGAGTAGTCTGCAGACACAAGAAACGGACAGAGATAAAAGAGAACGGAAGTTGCAAAAGCACAACCATACTACACTGTGAATCCTGCGATTAGTTAACTGGCTTGTTTATTCAAAATGCAACGAAGCACTTCTTTATACAATAGTGTGGTCGCCAGAGAAAATCGCACACACTCTCATTTTCTCACACTCTAAACTGACACTGCCATGTGAAAAGCCTTTCACTTGGTTTAAATCTGAAAATATCTCAGTATTTCACAAAATATAGCATATTTTAGATATTTTACTGTGCGAAACACAGAGCTAAGAAAATACGTTAAAAGAAGAATGGACGCAAAACAACTTTGCCTGTAGTATTTTTTGCAAGTGAGCTTGCATTGAAGCAATGGAGCATTTTGAAATAAGATATTTCTTGTTACATTTTGCAAGCATTAGCATTTCAGCAATCTTACACAGATTCAGCTGGAGAGCAGCAGCCAGTGGGCAGCAAATCATATCAGGCTTTATGGATAAGAAACGGCGAAACCAAGAACATTCTCCTCTGCAGATGTACTGGTCACCATCGGACATTGATGGATGAGCTATTATTATTACAATTGTTCTACAGACTCCACCAAACAAACAAAAAATGTCTATACTTTGAATGACAAAAAGGTGAACCACAGAACCTGTCTGGGGGCTCTTTTTGACATTATGGGTAGGGTCAACTTGAAAAAGCAACATTTTAGTTTGCTCAGACGTTTGTCTTCAAAGTTTTCTCTTTTTTTGCTGTACAGGAGAAAAAAAGTATAATTTTCCAAATTTAAATAATACTAACAAGACAGAAAATTTCAACTCACTTTGTTCAAAGACCACTTATAACACACACAAAAAATCTTAATCTGAAATTTTCACAGACTTTCAAACTTCTGACACCCAATTCCCCTTCCAAAAATCGTGTATTCCAGGAAAATGTGAGACATCACATTCCATTTGTCCGTACCGTCAAAATCTTGCACGTCCAGATCTACGACCTGCGGGTGCGACTTGATGACCACCAGGCGGCCGGTGCCGTCCTGCATGAAGAAGGACCAGGACACGGACATGTGCTGCGTCACTTTGTCCACCATGTTGCTGTACACGTTGTGCATGTACATCAGTGGGTACATCATGCCCGCGATACTCTGGTCTGGGTCGCCACCCTCCATGGATGGCATCTTCTCAGCCACAGACGCCACAGGTGCCACAGGTCAAAGGAATGGAGAGAGAGAGAGAGAGAAATACTGTAGTAATAATAATAATGACAATGTAGAACATTTCTACGGCGCCCACTCCAGTGTGAACACAGCTCAAAGTGCTTTACATAAATGTATGTACGAACAATTTTCACACACACACACACACACATACACACATCTACTTGCTTATCACATGTGCACGTTTACACATCGTTACGAAATGAGCACATACAAATATATGCACAAAACAATGCAATTCGAAAAATATATCAGGAATATAGCTCTTAAACACACAAAAAAATGAAAGAATTCATTTTGCCATCACTGAAAATGAGGTGAGAAGAGTCTTTATTTAAGCTCTCTATCAACATCAAGTGCCAGATCTAAAAAAGACATCCCTCCTGCCTCGTCTGCTTTCCATTTGGCCAGTAAGAGCTGGATGTTCAATAAGGCCTTTATGTCGATTCAAATGTTTAGCAAACTGAACTTGCATCATTTTATAAATGTTTTTATTAAATGGGCTTTCAGCACTAACTCACTTGATTTCTTGTCCTTTAAAGAAATCCTCAACCACCTCTGGAGAAATCGCATGCTTTCTATCACCCCCCAAATGAATCAGCCTTTTCTTTTATCTTAAGGAGAGGCCACATCTGTGACATCATGCCTGGAGAACTGACCAAGGTACCAACATCCATGGAAGGAATTTTCTCAGAAGTAGCAGAACACAAAGGCAAGAACACATGTCTCTGTAAGCTAGTGCTGGGCGGCTAGGTAGGTTCCCGATTATTGAAAGCTAGGAAGCGTAGGACTCGACTCCGAACCCAATTACTTATTTTTTAATGATGTGATTTCTTCTGGTGGCTATTTGGTTAGCTCCGAACATCTTCAGGATTTAGGATAACCTTGATTTCGGAACACTACGAAGCATCAACTTTTATTTATCAAAATAAAT